ATAAAACACTTCTAAAGGACAGAACCATTACATACACTCCCTAAAAATATTGGGACAATATGGGATGAAAGGGTGAGTTTGTGTTTGAACACTGTTTATTAGGAGAATGATAAATCAGCATGTTTCAGCACAGAGGTAAATGTCAGGGGACTGCAGAAATCTCCCTTCCACATTCTTCCTGAACATGAAGCTGCACAGGCACCTGGCCAAAGGACCCGATGCCCCCCTCAGTCCCTCCTTGGGAACAGAGCCCGACTGGAGTGTAAAGATCCAGAGATCTTCAGGGGGAGACAGAAACCAAGACTTCACTTCTTCTTCCCCAAAAGTGAAGCCTTTTGCATGTAAAGCGAGACAGCTAATGTCTCTGGAACCTGAGGAGGGTTTTCTGTACAAAGCTTGTTACAGCTGACTAAATATTAGGTTAAGAAAAAGAGAGAAAGAAAGAGAAAGAGAGAAATAGAAAGAGAGAAAGAAAGAAATAGAAAGAAAGAAAAGAAAAGAAGGAAGGAAAGGGAAAAGAAAAAGAAAAAGAAAGAGAAAGAGAAAAAGAAAGAAAGAAGATACATTTAAGAAAACCATAAATGTTACAAAACAGAAACAGAGGGAGGTAGTGTATCTGCATATGAACCTTCCAATGTAATGTGATTTTTCACATCTTTAAAAAAAATATAAAATTTGATCTGTGTATTTGAATCTTTGACACTTTCATATTTAAAGGTTATGGAGTTTGCCATTAATTTCAGCATCTTTTTCTGGTAAATCATGGACTGCAGAAGTTGTTGAGGAATTTATGTGATTTAAACTAAAATATATTATGAGCATAAATTAAGCTCTTGCAAAATATGCATGGTCTTCTGCAAACACTCACATGCTGCTGGCCTTTCCCTTGGAAGGCATGAGTGGTACCAGCTCCCTCTTTTCTCCAGGGGAAATCAGAGGTCTCCCCTCTGCTTTCAGCCAGTTTCCCCTCACCAGCCCTCCAGGTGCTGCTTCTAAACCTCTCAAAAACGGGAAGGGCATGTGGAGTCGCTGGGGTCAGTTTTGAAGCCAGGAAAACAAATTTTATTTAAGCTATAGGATTTCATATAGGCTTGGTAGCACTGTGAGTTCAGATAGAGTAACTGTATTATATGCTGCTTTCTGATATTAATTTTTTTTCATTTGTACAGTATTAGACCTATTTTTTACTTATTCTAAATAAGTGTATGATGGCAAGTCCTCGACATACACTTTTTCAGTTACAAACCCACTTAGTTAAATTACGCTTCCCATTGTAAGAGGGGATCTGGGTCCACTCCCTCCCAGTTAAACCACCATAAGAACTGGTTCTGGAGCTGGACCATAATCATCCTCGAGGTCCTGAAAAGCATGTGCTGGAGGGTACCAGCTGGGAGAACTGGGAATTAGGCAGTCCAGATGTGTGTTTTCCCCCATGGAGACAGTGTAGATTAGCATCTCTTCTGTGATTTTTTTTTTCTGCGGCGAGTTTCAATATTTGTAGGAATCGGCTCTGTACAAAATGTTCTCTGCATCAGAGAACGGGCTCACTACGTGCCCAGCTCCTTCGCACACCCTGCCCTCCTCGCCCCCCTGCCCCCTGCATCTCCAGCCGCAATCCTGTCGGGGCAAAGACTTTGCTGGAGGGTGGGGGTTCTTCAGCAACGAAGTTTCTTGATGCTTCCCGAAAGCATTCATGGGCGCTTCCTGCCGGGGCTCTGCGCTCTCTGTGGATGGAAAGGAGCAAAAGAGCACGGAAGAATCCGCGTTTTTCTGG